GGTACAGGAAGTCAAAGTCAAAGACAGGTGTGGAGGCAAGAAGTAGGGATCAGGGGGGAGAATGTTGACCCCGAATGTGGCAAAATCTCTTGTAGGTATATTTACTTAAGTATTAAAGAATAAAGAAAATAAATGGGCATTTGTTACTTAGAGCAACACACTCACTTGAGACTAAGACCCAAAACAAGTGTATCATACAAACCCAAAAATCAAAAGCAAACCTTTCCTAGCTTCTATTTATTTCTTAGACAGGGGGCAAGCCCACTTTTCCCCCTTTTATTAGCACTGTGTCACCTTATAGAAAATGTGACATTAAGAACTTGGCTGTGTGAGGGTGGTGTGGACTTATGCCATCTTTTTCAGTGACAGTTAGGGTGTTATGCGACGCCCGAAGGTTGTCTGGTGATCGGAGGCGAGACAGGCTGCTAAGCTCAACCCACTTCTTTGACATAATGGGTGCGGTTGATGGCAAGCTGTTTTACTGTACTGGTTATTTTTTCACCTGTACACAGCATTTTGGAGTATAATACCCAAGATGGCTTTTGATATCTTATGTTAGGTTTCGCACTGTTTTAGATATCTGATATAAATATGTACATGCATGGAAATAACTGAGGTAGGAGGAATGCATCTGGTAACTCTATAAATGTTTACCAACTACACAATTCCAGTTACACAAAAGCTGTCGCATTTGCCATAACTACTGGAAAAGATGGCATTAGTCAGAAAAGGTGTCACATTTGCCATAACTACTGGAAAAGATGGCATTAGTCTCAGAGCATTCTGTAAGTTTTGTAAGTTGGCGTTATCCATTTCCCCACTATCTTGGTGCGTCACTCTTGGTAACTAACCGAGAATTGATTGGAAGACAGGAATTTTTCCAGGCTCTGGGGTAGACCTGTAACTTTGTTTGATGTCCTAAAATAAATGAATAGTTACTGATTATTGGGTTATGGGTAATTTAACAATCAGTCCATATTTTACTGAGAAAACCACCAGTTTTAGATTTTTTGTTAACCATTTGTTAGTGATGCCCATTCCTTGTATAAGGTAATTACAAGATCTTTTTGGGCTTTAGGATTACATTAGAGCAAGTGATCAATGGGAAATCTACGCAGGTAGTTCCTTAACCCTCTCACACCAATTACGGTTTCTCATGTTATTGCAAACCATGCCTAAGTGATTGATGGCAAGTAGCTATGTCATATATACTCAAGTCTGCTCTATATTGTTCAACTCAGACTGTAATTATTGAGGTGTTACAGCCTCTGAAAAGTAGGCTTAAAGTCTCTGTGCAAAACACATGGCTCAGTAGAACTATAGAACTTGTTAGGTGTAGGTTCTTTGTGGTTCAGAATTTTGATTTAGACACCTGATTATGTGCAAAACACATGGCTCAGTATAATACAGGGAAATCCTATCATGAGTGGGTAAACCAGCCATCCAGGCATTATGTTTAAGCAGATAAAAACCAAAGCAATGTAATAATGTATATGTACTGGTGAAGGAAACCTAGCAAATGTTTATGAGACACCTGCAGTTAACTTTTTTTCAGTTGTATTAGCTTTGTTCCATCCAGTTACACCTGAATGTTGCAGTGATTTAGGAAGAAAGGCCTAGAGTCTTAATATTAAAAATAGGGATGAGGCATTGAGATCAGTAGAGTACCAGTGCCTTTGGCACTTCTGCAAAAGTTAAACCTCCACTAAATATATTCTGATAATATAGAACTTGAAGAGGTTCCTTATTTAACAAAAATTACCTAGGTGCCTGACAAACCCTGTGATGCCAGAATATATTTGCTGAAGATTTGTTAGATTCCCAGAGATGTGAAGACCAGTGGTGGACACATGGATGTCTAGCATACATTTACTGGCTTTAGTAACAAGATAATCAGAACAAGAACTGAGTATCAGTTGTAGTAATTCTGGCAGTACAAGTAAGGATAAATATAAATAGAAAGACTATTGAAACTATAACAGTAGGAAGGAAGGTAATGAAAAATTTATATTTGTAATTAATTTCAGTTATCTGTTTGTCTTAACTTACTTGATCCAGGTTCCTCACTGTTAGCATGTGGCCTATATTACACTACTTGATAGTGTAATGATCAGGCATATTTGCTGTGGTGGTCACGCAGATCTTTGTATTAGGATGCAATTGGAAATATTTTTATTGATTTTTGTTTATATCAATGTTTATTTTTATAGGTTCTTAAGGGTGGTGATGGCATGGCAGGTATGGCTGTACGCAATCCCAAGGGAGAGATAGTTCATCCATATACTTGGAAGAAGTCAGCAGAATACGAAGAAGTCTCACAGACAGGAGGATATTACAGCGTCTGCATTGATAATCAATTTTCAAGATTTGCTGGCAAACTAATCAACCTCTACATGACTACTTTTAGGTAAGTCTCCTAGCATGTGTCGTGACTACTATTTCTAGGCACATGTATAGACATGGGTGTTTTGGAGTGGAGATCTAGTTCTTAGTATTTAAACGTTAAAACTGGGAGTTTTCATGTTTGATATTTTTCCGTGCTTTAGCATTGTAATTTTTATATAACTTCTCTTTGCAGGTATGATTTATGGGAAAAATACACTCAAGAACTTGAGCAGATGGAAGTCAGCGTAAACAACTTCACAGTGAGTACAACATGCGTGTTTGAAGTGTTTGAACTTTTATTTTATTTTATTTTGTTTATTTTGTATTTTTATTTATTTATTTATTTGTGTGTGTATGTGTGCGTATGTGTGTGTGTGCGTGCGTGCATGCGGGCATGAAGTAGATAGATAGATAGATAGATAGAGACAGATAGATAGATAGATAGGTAGAGACAGATATAGATAGATAGACAGATAGAGAGAAGATAAATAGATAGATAGACAGATAGAGAGAGAGAGAGAGATAGAGATAGAGGTAGATAGATAGCTAGAGATAAGAGGTAGATAGATAGCTAGAGATAAGAGGTAGATAGATAGCTAGAGATAAGAGGTATAGATTAGAGATAGAGGTAGATAGATAGCTAGAGATAAGAGGTAGATAGCTAGCTAGAGATAAGAGGTAGATAGCTAGCTAGAGATAAGAGGTAGATAGATAGAGATAAGAGGTAGATAGATAGAGGTAGAGATAAGAGGTAGAGATAGAGATAGAGATAAGAGGTAGATAGATAGAGATAGAGATAAGAGGTAGATAGATAGAGATAGAGATAAGAGGTAGATAGATAGAGATAGAGATAGAGGTAGATAGATAGAGATAGAGATAAGAGGTAGATAGATAGAGATAGAGATAAGAGGTAGATAGATAGAGATGAGATAAGATAGATGGATAGAGAGAGATAGATGGATAGAGATAGAGATAAGAGGTAGATGGATAGAGATAGAGATAAGAGGTAGATGGATAGATATAGAGATAAGAGGTAGATAGATAGAGATAGAGATAAGAGGTAGATAGATAGAGATAGAGAAGAGGTAGATAGATAGAGATAGAGATAGAGGTAGATGATAGAGATAGAGATAAGAGGTAGATGGATAGATAGAGATTGAGATGAGAGGTAGATTGGATAGATAGAGATTGAGATGAGAGGTAGATGATAGATAGAGATTGAGATAAGAGGTAGATGGAGATAGAGATTGAGATAAGAGTAGATGGATAGATAGAGATTGAGATTAGAGGTAGATGGATAGATAGAGATTGAGATAAGAGGTAGATGGATAGATAGAGATTGAGATAGAGGTAGATGGATAGATAGAGATTGAGATAGAGGTAGATGGATAGATAGAGATTGAGATAGAGGTAGATGGATAGATAGAGATTGAGATAGAGGTTGATGGATAGATAGAGATTGAGATAGAGGTAGATAGCTAGAGAAGATGGAGGTAGATGATTAGAGATTGAGATAGAGGTAGATGGATAGCTAGAGATTGAGATAGAGGTAGATAGCTAGAGAGATTGAGATAGATAGCTAGCTAGAGATTGAGATAGAGGTAGATAGCTAGCTAGAGATAGAGATAGAGGTAGATAGCTAGCTAGAGATTGAGATAGAGGTAGATAGCTAGCTAGAGATGGAGATAGAGGTAGATAACTAGCTAGAGATTTAGAGGTAGCTAGCTAGAGAGAGATAGAGGTAGAATAGAGCTAGAGATTGAGATAGAGGTAGATAGCTAGCTAGAGTGAGATAGAGGTAGATAGCTAGCTAGAGATTGAGATAGAGGTAGATGGATTAGCTAGAGATTGAGATAGAGGTAGATGGATAGCTAGAGATTGAGATAGAGGTAGATGCTAGCTAGAGATTGAGATAGAGGTAGATAGCTAGCTAGAGATTGAGATAGAGGTAGATAGCTAGCTAGAGATTGAGATAGAGGTAGATAGCTAGCTAGAGATTGAGATAGAGGCAGATAGCTAGCTATTGAGATAGAGGTAGATAGCTAGCTAGAGATAGAGATAGAGGTAGATAGCTAGCTAGAGATTGAGATAGAGGCAGATAGCTAGCTAGAGATTGAGATAGAGGTAGATAGCTAGCTAGAGATAGAGATAGAGGTAGATAGCTAGCTAGAGATTGAGATAGATAGCTAGCTAGATAGCTAGCTAGAGATTGAGATAGAGGTAGATAGCTAGCTAGAGATTGAGATAGAGGTAGATAGCTAGCTAGAGATTGAGATAGAGGTAGATAGCTAGCTAGAGATTGAGATAGAGGTAGATAGCTAGCTAGAGATTGAGATAGAGGTAGATAGCTAGCTAGAGATTGAGATAGAGGTAATAGCTAGCTAGAGATTGAGATAGAGGTAGATAGCTAGCTAGAGATTGAGATAGAGGTAGATAGCTAGCTAGAGATTGAGATAGAGGTAGATAGCTAGCTAGAGATTGAGATAGATAGCTAGCTAGAGAGAGATAGTAGATAGCTAGCTAGAGATGAGATAGAGGTAGAGCTAGCTAGAGATTGTAGATAGCTAGCTAGAGATTGAGATAGAGGTAGATAGCTAGCTAGAGATAAGAGGTAGATAGCTAGCTAGAGATTGAGATAGAGGTAGATAGCTAGCTAGAGATAGAGATAGAGGTAGATAGCTAGCTAGAGTTAGAGATAGAGGTAGATAGCTAGCTAGAGATTGAGAATAGAGGTAGAGCTAGCTAGAGATTGAGATAGAGGTAGATAGCTAGCTAGAGATTGAGATAGAGGCAGATAGCTAGCTAGAGATTGAGATAGAGGCAGATAGCTAGCTAGAGATTGAGATAGAGGCAGATAGCTAGCTAGAGATTGAGATAGAGGTAGATAGCTAGCTAGAGATTGAGATAGAGGTAGATAGCTAGCTAGAGATTGAGATAGAGGAGATAGCTAGCTAGAGATTTAGAGGTAGATAGTAGCTAGAGATTGAGATAGAGCTAGAGATTGAGATAGAGGCAGATAGCTAGCTAGAGATTGAGATAGAGGCAGATAGCTAGCTAGAGATTGAGATAGAGGCAGATAGCTAGCTAGAGATTGAGATAGAGGCAGATAGCTAGCTAGAGATTGAGATAGAGGTAGATAGCTAGCTAGAGATTGAGATAGAGGTAGATGGATAGATAGAGATTGAGATAGAGGTAGATGGATAGAGAGAGATTGAGATAGAGTAGATGGATAGATAGAGATTGAGATAGAGGTAGATAGCTAGCTAGAGATTGAGATAGAGGTAGATAGCTAGCTAGAGATTGAGATAGAGGTAGATAGATAGAGAAGATAGAGGTAGAATAGAGAGAGATGAGTAGAGGTAGATATAGATAGAGATTGAGATAGAGGTAGATAGCTAGCTAGAGATAGAGATAGAGGTAGATAGCTAGCTAGATAGCTAGCTAGAGATTGAGATAGAGGTAGATAGCTAGCTAGCTAGCTAGAGATGAGATAGAGGTAGCTAGCTAGAGATTGAGATAGAGGTAGATAGCTAGCTAGAGATTAGATAGAGGTAGAGCTAGCTAGAGATTGAGATAGAGGTAGATAGCTAGCTAGAGATTGAGATAGAGGTAGATAGCTAGCTAGAGATGGAGATAGAGGTAGATAGCTAGCTAGAGAGAGATAGAGGTAGATAGCTAGCTAGAGGTAGATAGCTAGCTAGAGATAGAGTAGAGGTAGATAGATAGCTAGAGATAGAGATAGGTAGATAGCTAGAGATAGAGATAGGTAGATAGCTAGAGATAGAGGTAGATAGGTAGAGAGATTGATTGATTGTGTATGGGAGAGAGATTGTGTGATTGCTTGATTGATTGGTTGTGTGAGTGAGTGTATTTGACTGATTGTGTTTGTAAATAATGAGGGATATCTATGTTTACCTAATTTATGAAAGTTTTCCTTCAACAGTATATATATACATATTTTTTTCACCTAATTCTTATACTTTCACATTTCAGCACTCTATAAAGACCGTGGATCAGCGCATTCACGATATGCTGCTGCACCAGAGCCAGTCACGAGCAAAGGAGGCAAGAGACTTCCAACTTCTTATAAGCAACAACAACTATGTTCAGTACTGGTCCCTTGCACAGTGCATTGCCATCATTGGTGCAGGAGCGTTCCAGGTGTTCTACTTACGCAAGCTCTTCGATACAAAGGTCACAACCAAGTCAGGAGGCAGAGCCTAGGGTGCCAGGGCTCTAAACAGGTGTTTGTCCTGCCATGTGGGGGAAGCACTAAAATTAAGATTAAATATTTGCTGTTAGATCATTTGAGTACCAGATGAGTTGTCTGGTGATATTCATTTGTTGTTAATCCAGATACTTTTTATTTGATATACATTTTATCTTGGACAGTGTTCATCACACTGTTTGGTACTGTTATTTAGGTAATGCAATTCTCTTTTTTTTTTTTTTTTTTTTTTTTTTTTTAATGGATGAAGGTTTTTGTATTGTATACTAACCTTTTGTCATCAGCATATCAGTGATACGTTTCCTTCAGTGATTATTTTAATCTCTTGAAAGAGCTTTATGAATCTCAGCCTAATGGGATTGCAATCGTATATGTACTTACAAATTATGTTTTGTTCCTAGAGGTGGGTCCTTGCTCAGTTGCAATAACGTTAGACATAAACAGATCAGTTCTTTGTAGCTTTCAACTATACATAATTTGAATGTAGATTATATCAGGGTTAGTTTTTTGATTGTCTTAGTTTTATCAAAATACTTTCATGTTTTTTTGCATTGACATCCTGATAATGTAATATGAAGGGACCAGGTGAACTATAGAAAAAATCTCAAGAAATAGAAAAATGTAAGGCCTTATCTCTAGGGGTTTTAGTTGTAGTATGTGGTAGGTGGTGCAATGGTCTCATTCCAAGCATAATTTTTCATAGTGTTTATCTTGTGCAGATTCAATTCCTCATTTTTTTTCCGTCCTACATTGCTTTAGATCTCAACTTGATACCTGATGTTACATTCCAATTCCAAGGTCACAGTCTTGTATTTTTTATACATACAATATCATGTATTGTAGGTGCTTTTATTGTTCATTGATGGAATAAAGAATTATACAATATCCAGTTTTAATTTTTTTCCAATTCTAGCACCTCATAGGAACCCTGACGGGTAGACCATTTCTTTTCCCCATTTTATTCAGCCTCACCATGGCCAGTAATGAAAATTCTCTATCCTTAATAGGGCTTGCTTCATCAACTAGCCTAACTAAATTTTATTTTGATGGTTTTCTTACCCCTGCCCCTCCTCTGACCATGGCTCTGACCACTGATACTAATACCTGCTCTTTGACACTTATTGTCAACTCTAGCCATTCCAAAACACCCACCCAGGTTATTACTCAACCTTCAGAAGGCACCCCTTCATCTCTCCATACATTCCCCCCTCTATCTCCTACTGCAGAATCCTATTCAATGTCTACCCTATCTTCCCTTATTATTACTCTTCATCCTTATATTCCTCCCCTCCACAGAACTACTCCACCCCACACCACCCCATCTTCCTATTGGCTCAGCCAAGTGGGGTCAATTCTTTGTGAACCCTACTCTGAGAACACCCTTCTCTTTCAACAGTGCCTCTAAAAACAGTCACTCTGATTGTTCACGCCTTATCACAGTTACATCTGAATCCTAAGCTCGTGCACTATCTACACTAACTGACCTCACTGGCAAACCCATTCCTGCTGAACCTCACCCCTCTTAATACCTGTACTGGAACTGTTTCTATCCCCTCAAATGCTTGTCCTGTTTACAACAAGGACTGGTCAGACTGAAAATAACCTACTTACCTGCCTTGCTGATTATGATGCTGTGGCAGTAGTGTTACACTATTCCTCCCAGAGGCCAGCATTAGTCCCACTTCAATATTGCCAAGATTAGCTTCAGCAGACATGACCTCCCCCATGAAGTTTATATTGCCGGATTGTCCAATCATATCTACCCATTCCTCATCAATGTCAGAAATGTTGCCACCTTAGCCACCTAGCCAAACTCGCTCCACAGCCCACTGCCCTCTATGTGCCCAACCTAGCCATGACCCTTCAAATTGCCCTGCTCAGTCACGTGCAGCTATCAATTGTGGAGACTCCCATAATGTATTTTATGGGAGCTGCCCTGCCTATAAGCTTGAATATGAGATAACAGTCTTCAGATTCAAACTAGGCCTCATTCTATTTGAGGCCAGACAAGAAGCATGTCGAGGATTTTCTCTCAACTTATTCCAAAACAGTCCTTTGTTCTGCTCCCCCAAAATCTTCACAAGATGTTTCTGCATCTCCCCCCAGTATCTCTCCCCTATACCATAAACCATCCTATGTCTAATCACCCTATCCCCCAGTCAAATGTTTTCCAGTCTAAATCCAGATATTCCAGTTTCTACCACTTCCCCGATACCTACCCTCTTCCTCACTTTATTTGACACACCAAGCAACCTAAACATTCCACTCCACCATCTCCTACATCTTCCTCTTCTCCTCCTCGTAAGATAACCTTTGTTTTTCAGTCCTCTTCACACATCTCCCCTCCAGGAACCCCTGAAGACATCCAAAACCTCCTAAAGATGACCCAAGAGAACACTCCACTCCTCACCCCCCCCCCCAATCCCTCTGTTCCTACTACTTCTACATTTAAAGTATTTGCAAATATCCATCCTCCATCTTAAGTTCCCTCCTTCCCCTTCCTCCTTCAGCCTCCCAACATACATCCCCCTATATCCTTCCCCAGTTCCCCTTTCTCATCCCACAGATTCTTCTCCTCCTACTTCCCTAACATGTTTTCTTTGAACAATGTCCCTATTCCTTCCCAAGTCACAGATACAATGCAATTCACACAATCACTACCCTTTTAACCTTTTCCATTTTACTAATCCCTGCTCTGCTTCATTTATTTCCCACTTTTCCTTTTTCATTACTATACTTTCCTATAACACCCTCCCTTACAACCCTTCCCCTCTCCCCGGATTCTTCTCCTACTTTTCCAACAACCATCTTTTATTTTCCTTGAACATTGTTCATGTACCTTCCCCAGTGACAGATACACTATAATTCACGCAATTGTCCTACCTCCTTAACCATCCCCTTTCTGCAAATCTCTGCTCTAGTTCACTTCTCTTTTTCCCTTTTCACTACCATACTGTCCTATAACACTCTAATCTTTGACATCTAACATTTTATTGTAATCTAACTCTTCTTTCCCCTTTCTGACACAGTACTTAACTGTAGTGCTATATGACTTTTGATGTCTAGCAAATTTATTTGTTTCAAATATTAAACATTAAACATTCCCAATTATAACTAGTAGCAAGTTTAACCAATTAGCTGGAAAGCTTGTTAGTACTTTGATGGGAAATGTATTTTGGCAAGAGCTGAACCCTCTTCACCGACATGCATACACACACACAAATTATATCAAAGATTATGAACCCACTGACACTGGGAAAACATGTACATATCTGCTATGTCCACTGTACTCTGAGGCCTTGTTTACTCATAGTCAATTACTAGTCCTACCTATCTTACATGTTAACTATTTTCTTAGATAAAAAAAAAAAATCTTAGTACCAGTAATTCTAATAATAGTTATAGCATAACTATTGAAAGCAAAAGTCTTACGGAGTTTTAAGTTCTCTGTACAAAATTACAGGAATACTGTTAATATGAAGGGTACTATAAAGCAGAACATGTCTGACAGGTACCATCACTGGTGACTCAGGTGAAAAACTGGTAAAAAATCATGTCCCTGCGGTTTTGAACAAGGTCAAGCTATTGGGGAGGAGGGTGATCTTTAATCTCTAACCAAATATGACCTTTTCAGCAAAATGAGTTTTGCCAACCAATGAAGACACTTATAGTCCAGGGGTTTAATGGTTAGGCAAAATTTGGGATAGATTAAAGGGGCAGTATAAATTTCATTGCAACTGGGGATAAAGAAATGTACATTCATATAACTTTTAATTTATTTATGTTTTAAATTATTACATTTACTTTCTCCCTTTCTCACTTTCTTGTCATAAATTATAACATATACTTCAACAATAGGAATACTGAAGAAAGCCATCTAACAGTAACATAACAATACGGTAAATATAGCATTCTTAAAATTGTCAAATATGTATTTAAAAACAAGAAAAGAAAAAGAAATCAATATTGGTCATACCATCTGGAAAGTTCTGCCGAGTTTTTATCCACCCTGAAATTATCTAATTCTGGGCACATTTTATCCTTTTATACAATTACCCAAGAAGTTTAAGCATTTGCCCAGAGAGAGAGAGACTTTACTTGCTTCTACAAAAGCAATGCAGCAAGCAGCCAAGAAAGTGGCTGGCTTTTGACTCCCATGCTAAAAACCCCCTTAACCCCGAGCATTAATGATCTGAACAAAGTCTGGCTTGAGAGCTGCTCCACCCACAAGGAATCCATCAATGTCACCCTTCTTGGCCAACTCCTGGCAGTTGCCAGCACTGACAGAGCCACCATAGATGATGCGAGTGGACTCTGCAACTTCAGCATTCACATTGTCCCGCAGCCACTGCCTAAGGTCTGCGTGGACTTCTTGTGCCTGAGAGAGAATAAATAGTTACTGTTATTGTATAAAAGTGGAAAAGAGAGAGAAGGGGTAACCTTATCCCTTAAAAAGTAATTTTCTCTACTTTCACTTCTCTTTATTTTGATCTTTTGGCAGATGACCTTGTTGAACTATAAAAGCAATAAGCTAGAGAAGTACACAATTATTTAAATGTTTATCAACATGGAATTACAAATTACCTGTTCTGGGCTGGCTGTCTTGCCAGTTCCAATGGCCCAGACTGGTTCATAAGCCAAGACAACACGTGACCAGTCAGAGATGTTGGGGAGGAGAGCCTTCATCTGTGCAAATACCACCTCTTGGGTACGGTTACCCTCGCGATCCTCAAGCTTCTCTCCAATGCATGGGATCACCTGAGGAAAAGATTAAAGTATTTAAATGAATGTCACCTGAACTACTTTAAGGGGGCCGTTGCAACAATTTTTTTTTTTTTTTTTTTTTTTTAATCTCCTGTAATCTGGTGGGCTTTGGCAATCTCGTGATGTAATATTTTTGCTAAATATGTAAATTTAAAGGAGTTATGACAATCTCTAAGCCCCCCACCCCCCCCTCCGATGTTTACATAGTTGCGTCCGTGAAAATTTACTCGACAAATTTGTTTTTTTTCGTATTTTTTTTCGGTTTATTTTGGAATCCTCTGGTAGCTAGCTGGCAACTCTGTTTACCCATCAGCTGATTGCGAAGACAGCGGCCCTGGGAGACAAAACTCCACCAGAAAATCGGAGAGAAAGGTTGCCAGCTCCTAGCTCCATGACACCATACCGCAGACATACGGCCTCATCACACAGTAAGGGTACACTATTAATTGTAGATGCTAGTTTAGTATATGATAGACGTAATATGATAGGAAATACTTCTAAATCACAGCTGCAGCAGTTGTTTATAAATTTAAATACCTCACGTCGTCAGGTTCGGCCTTACAACCCATGTGCTCCAACAGGAATTTCTACAATCATTTGCAGTTATTACCATTAGTACTTTGCAAAAGGGGGGGACCATGTACCAGTTACACTTCAGAATACCATGTGAATGCAATAGAATGCAGCAAGATTGCTGCAAAGATTAGAATTCTAAAAAAAAGAAAAGAAAAGAAAGAAAGGAAAAGAAAAAAATCGAGGGAAATCCAAAATTTCGGAGCCCGTTATTTCAAGACTACACTTTTGTCAACAATTGTCAGCATTTTTAAAATTCATCCATAAATAATTGGGCAATTCTAATGGAGTTTGGATCATTTAAAAGCTGAATATATTTGCGATGATTTACTCAAAGAAAAATTCTTTTTAGTTAATAGTAGTTCATATGATGCTCATAAGACTAGACATTTAGAAAAAAATAAATTCCCACTAAACTAAGACGAAATTTAAAACTCTGGTCTTTGCAAATTTTAGGTATTCCTATAGATTATAGGTGGTAATTTTTTCAACAAATTTGTTCGATGGATAAATGCCATTTTTAAGAGGCTGTGATTGTTCAAAAACTTGT